GAAGAACACAGGGGTTAATCAGTGTTGAGTTTCAAAATAGGCTTTCCAAATCTGCCAGGAGAAAAAGGAACTAGAAATTCAGACTTCGACAGAGATAAAAATAAAAGTTATTTCTAGTCTCCAAAAATCATTATTACATGAAGAGAAAATGGTTACCTTTAATATAGTTTTATTATAAAACAATGATAGAAAAAAATTGTAATATGAAGTAAAGTAGATCACCAGTATACTGAAAGGGGAAATAAAGCTTCTTGAGACAGAAGAGGAGGAAAGGAGGAGGAAAAGAGGAGGAAGAGGAGATGGTGAAGGAAATGAGAGAAGAAATTAACAAAAATGAGAAGCTTTGTGTCCACACCTAGCCACTTCTAAAGATGCTCTAAGTTTAGCAAGAGAGGGCAACAGCCCTGCCTTGCTGAGAACAAACAATGAATACCATTAAAACAGAGAAAACAAATACTGAAGCCCAGAATTCATCTAAATGAATAACATCTCAACCAAAGATCAGAAACCCAGAAAGGGAGGACAAAATGTGGAACAGGATATCCTCTATCCAAAGTGAGATGTCTATTTATGTTTTCCCTTACAATCATACTGTGTGGGAAAGAGGGATAGAAGGGGAGATCTCCCCAATGAGTAAAATAAAAACTTTAAACTGGAAGAGTATATGCTTCCAAAGAAACAGTATTAACTTGAAAGAGACTGTTATAAACCAGAGGTTAAGTAACTTCTGAAAAGTTAACTTTTGTTTTCTGCTATCAGTAAGAATGAAAGGAAAGGAAGGCATACAGAATGTTTAGTTCAAAGATAGATTAACTTATTTAAGTTTTGTCACATCTAATTCTTAGTATGTTATATTTCCACCTGCTATGTCTGGGTTTTGGTTAATTGAGGTTTTACTGTATTCAGCATTCTCCCAGGAAATATCTTCATACATCACTTCAATCTGCCCCTGTAAAAGTTGTAGTTAATTCTCATTTTCTTCTTCCCTAAGTTAGAGTAGTTAATAAATTTTTTTTAAAAATGTAAAATGACCTTATTTAAAAGTAATTTAAAATGGTTTCTTAAATCACAAGCCAATTGTTCTCCTTGCTCTACTCTATTAAATACTTCTTATCTCTTAACTTTTTAAACATTTGTTTCACAATTCTTTTGAGTCCTTTTGAAGTACTCTTTATTTTTCTTACCCGTGAGTCTCAAACTTGTCAATATTCCAGTAAAAGAGAACTATTCTTTAGAGAAAATATAAACTCAAACTGTTAAAATATATTTTCCTTTAAATCTATTTTGGCCTAGAAGAAAAACAGTAAACATACCAAAGGAGCATATCTCGGTTTTGGAGGTGGAGGAGGCATCCTGCACCGACAGAGACGTTTGACCTTTGGTGATGGTAGTAAAGGCTCACAAGGTGGAAGTGGTGGTCTTTCTCTTGATGGAGGAACTCTGCCTGTGCTTAGTTTCTGTTCTTTTTCTTTGAATGTTGTCTTTTTAGATGACATTCCTAATCCTTTCTTCATTTCCAGGGCTTCTTTCTTTGAATCTACAGATGTGCCATCTGATTCATCAGCTCTCTTTTTAGCCCCAGGTTTATGTAGTGACTCTTCAGATTCAGCATCTGAACCTTTGGCCTTTGGGCCCTTCTTTAAGCCTATCTTGAAAGAATCATCAGATTCAACGTCAGTAGACTCTGTGTCCTTTTTCACGTTCTTCTTAGCATCTTTATTTAAACCTTTCTTTTCCTTCTTTGAATCTTTATTACCCTTCTTTAACTCCACATCGGATTCACTATCAGTTGATTCTGCATTCTTTTTAGCATCCTTCTTTTTATTATCTTTCTTTGATTCTTTCTTCTGCTTCATTTCATCTTTTTTACCCTTTTTAGAATCTGCTTCAGATTCAGAATCAGCATCAGTAGACCCTGCATCCTTCTTGACAGATTTCTTTTTGTCATCTTTCTTCGAATCTTTCTTTTCCTTTTTTTCATCTTTCTTACCTTTCTTTGACTCCAGTTCAGATTCAGAACCAGTAGAGACTGTATCCTTCTTTGAATCCTTTTTCTTATCATCTTTCTTTTCATTTTTCTTATCCTTCTTTAAATCTTTCTTTGCATCCTTTGAGTCTCCAGATTCAGCACCAGTAGACTCTGTGTCTTTCTTTGAATCCTTTTTCTTGTCATTCTTGTCATCTTTCTTTGAATTTTTCTTATCCTTCTTTGAATCTTTTTTTACATCCTTTGAGCTTCCAGATTCAGTGTCAGAGCTCTTCTTTGTATCCTTCTTTGTGTCCTTCTTGGAAGGCTTCTTTGAATTATTCTGGGAGCAATTCTTTACCCATGTATCAAAAGCCATGGATTCATTGCCAGCCTCTTCCAAATACATTACTAAATCCAAATTTGAACTATTTTTTGAGCAAGTCTCTGATTTGGAATTATAATTACTTTTTGATCTCTTCTTAGAGTCTTTTGCTGGATTGTTCTTCGTATATATGGATTTAGTGTTTGCCTCCTTGGAATTCCTTGAATCTTTCCTATTGTTTGAATGCTTTTTTGAGACTAACTTGGAATCATTGGATTCTGGATTTGTTTCTGATTTGTACTTTGATATCTTAGATGTCATTACACTTTCATATGATGACTTGAATTGAGTTTTATCTGATTTACTTCTTTTAGGTTTATCATCGTTCTTATCATTTACTATTTTCTTGGATCTTGAATTTTTTGCATGTGAACACATTTTGTTCTTAGAAATTTTATTCAAATCCATTCCTTTTTTGTTATCTTTGGACATTTTAGATTTTACCTTTTGAAGATAGGTTTTTGGTGTATAAGGATGTCTCAATGGAGCCTGTCTCTGGACAGCTAAGTAAATAAATGGTCTTCGGAAATATTTTCTTAAAGAATGCCTTATCCATATGTGAGCTGGCTTTTGATCTTGCTGTAATTTTCTTTCATCATGCCTCTGGAAAAATGATTAGATTAATGATAAGCATTTGGGTATGAGTTATATTTTATATTTAAACATAGTAGTTAAACTTTTCATTAACTATTTAAAATTATATATATATATTTTTTTCTCTCTTTCAAGGGGTGTGTGTGTGTGTGTGTGTGTCTCTCTGTGTGTGTGTTTGGATGGGAGAGAGAGAGAGAGAGAGGGAGATGACTCCACTTTGTAAGTATAATAACTTTAGGGGAAAACTTTAGGATTCCTTTAAGAATTCGTATTGGGATTGGAACAGGCCAAAAATGATTCATGACATTCTCAAAATTGTTCTCACAATCAATAGAGAGTTCCTTTTGAACCATTACATTCAAAGATTATGATGATTTTGTGATAATTGCAGGCTTTAGCCCCAGCTTGATTGCTATTCTGACTTTGAAAATCTCTGGTCAAATTGAGAGTGCCATATCCCCACTGTATACATTTCAAACATCTTTTTGTTACTTATTTCTAATTTATTAATTATTTCATTATAATCATAGAACACATTTTGTGTTAAATTATAGAGAATTATTGTGTGGCCCTAGGGGGGAAAAAAAGAAAAAACACAAAACCAGAAAAAAAGAGAAAGTTTGGCTCTTAATTCTACATTCTTTATTGTTCTATCTCTTCTTAGTGAGTCATCTGGCAGAAAATCATGGAATCAAAAAACACTTTCTACATTAGTTTCTTGGATTCTCACTTAAACGATGCTAAGTTGTTTTAAATGAGACAAACAAATATTTCATGCACATTATTTTGTGTAGAAATTGTGTAAATCATTTTGAACTTCCACCTAAACGTTTATCAGATTTTATTGTCATAAGTAGCCACAAGGACTGATTTTAGATTTATTTCTTATATTCATGTGACTTTTGAGTAGAGGTGCCAGCAATCAAATAATTGTATGGAATTAAAAGACAACCATGAAGAGAAGCATGAAACTTGGATTGCTATAGATGTAATAAATGGCTTTTGAGTAAATGCATTTGTTGTAACTTTCCCTTGGGAGATGCTTTAACAATATTTTGATATCACAATGGACAATTTTGTATATTGATTTTTCTTTTTGCTAATTGATGGAATGACCTTACTTTGTATAGTAGAATCAGTGCTGATGAAATTCTAGTTCTTATAAAAACTTGCATCTCCTAAATTTCGGACTTAAAAAAAATGAGGAGGCCCTTAAACCTCATCAAGGTCAAATCCTGCTATATTATTTAACTTTTAAATGATTTTGCAACTGGTAAACATTTTGTAGTAGACACTAACAGTTGTAGCACTATGTTCCTCAGTTTGAATAGGCTATTAACTATTTAATATCTTTGACATGGAGAATCACATGCAAATTAAAGTTCATCTAAAACAGATTAGGGCAAGCTGTTGTTCAGAGATAATAATTTAAAATATATGTTTCCAATTGGTAGTGAAATTCAAATTAAATATTTAATTTTCAATTAAATCAAATTATATATGTTGTATGAACTTAGATTTAGTTCTTAAAATGATCTTTTCAATACTTACAGGAACTGTGACTGATGATTCTGAAGATTTTGATTTATTTTTTATACCTGGCTGCGGTGGTTTGGGAAATGTCAAATCAAAGTGTTCTTGATTCCATGATTTTATACTTGAGTCACTGACTAAAATGAGAAAGAAAAATAAACAACTTGGAATTAAGAGCCAGACTTTCATCAGCACTGAAATATTCTTGAATAATAAAGTTATAATTTAAATTAAACTAATTTACAAATAAAATATAGATTTTCTTTATAGTTTATAGGGATTGGGGGTCATAATAATTAGGTGAAATAAAAACTTATTTTCTCATTTCATCATTGAATTATGTTTTTTTTATTTTGTTATCATTATTATTATTTTTTTTTGAGACAGAGCCTTAAGCTGTCACACTGGGTCGAGTGTTGTGGCATCACAGCTCATAGCAACCTCCAACTCCTGGGCTCAAGCGATTCTCCTGCCTCTGCCTCCCAAGTAGCTGAGACCATAGGCACCTGCCACAAGGCCTGGCTATTTTTTGGTTGTAGCCAGCATTGTTGTTTGGCGGGCCCGGGCTGGATTCGAACCTGCTACCTTAGCTGTATGTGGCTGGTGCCTTAGCCACTAGAGCCACAGGACCCAAGCCTGAATTATGTTTTAAATGATACTTATAATTTTATTTTCTAGATTAAACCAATTTTCATAGATAGTTATTAAATCATGATGGCAAAATAATATAATCAAACTGTGAGACTGGAAAATATAGAAAACTTCCCCACTTTTTTTCAAACATCTCAATCATCTCCACTTTATTAGTTTGTTTCCTTTATTTCGTTTTTGTCAGATTGTAGAAAATGTGAATTCTCCTTTCACAGTCACCATAATAAGTGGTACAATGCTGAGCATTAAGTTGTCAGTAAAAGTCTTAATTGATTGAATGAATGATTATTTAATCACCCTTCTGATCTAAGCCATAGAAATTAGGGCTCTGTACCTATAACTAAACTGATAACTATGGCAAAAAAGCAACTGATCAGGAATCAGGATAGTTCTCCTGAAGATGAAAAGACTAATGACAGCTGTCATCATTTTATTTAGATATTTAAAGAATAGTTATATGGGAGAGTAGTAGTAATAATAATAGTAGCATAGCACAATTACTAACACTTATGTAATGCTTACTTAACTATATGCCATACTGTGTGCTAAGTCCTTTAGTCAACTCATTTGATCCATACAACAACAATTTGAATTAGATAATTAGATTAGATGTTATAGACTTCTTTATATGTGGCCTGAGGGAAGGGGTGGAACCAATGAGCAACAATTGTAGCACTTTATTTCAATATATTAAGGGAAATTTTCCAAAAGTTGCATGTGTTCAGAAACTTGGATATTCACTAACCACTTTCATCTCTCTGAATATATTTGCCTTATTTTAGTTTTGTAGTTACAAACTTTAAACATGGGAGAAACTTATGCAAGGAAGGTTGGTAAGTATTATGAAAATGGAAAAACTAAATACATTTTTCTTTTTTAAACTAGCTAATACAAACTTAAATCAAAGTTAGAAATATATTAAACAGCACACTACGCACACTCAGCATGCACATATGCATATGCATACATACATGGTTGTATTAAATTTTGATAAACGTTAGTGAAATTTCTGCTTTATCATATTTAATTGAGGATACTAGTCTTTAGTTCTTAAAATTATTTTAAAATCTAAAAAAAATTTGATGTAATGATTAAATTCTTACTTGGGATGGAATTTTCATATGTTGTTATGTTTACTTCTTGTCTAAAAAAAAGGAAAACATTTTAATTAAATTTGTAGTATTGATAATTATAATAATAATTATTACTATCATTATGAGTAAGCCTTCAATAACAACACATTGAGAACTTGTGCATTTTCTGATCTCTACTATCTAAATATGTCTATCTTCAATTTGTATTATATAGTTCGTCTTCTGAGTATATTTTTCACCAGGCACTTATACAAAAATATAACATGGACTAAATCCTGAAATAAGTGGCTAACTTTAAAAATATTAAAATGAGGTATGATAAATTGAACCAGCTCCCCCTCCAAAAATTATCTACTAAAAATGTCTAAACTGGCATTTTCTTTATTAATTAATTATGAAAAAACTCACAACTTTTCAATGTTTTCAAAGCTTAAATCCTAATGATGTGTGAGGGGGTACATACAAGTATTGACTTGAATTTTGAATTGCCCTTCCACATAGGGAAAATTAGTCCATGATGTTCTGCCTATTTTCAAATAGGCACATTTGAAAAGTGCCTATTTAATTGCTTATAAGTCAATATTGTCTACTAAAGAAAAACATATTATAATTTGCTTTGAAAATATTACTTTCTTAGTAGTTGTCTGGGACAATGAGTTGTGACCACCACTACGTCTGAGGTAGTACTTGCATAAATAAATATCGTAGAATTTTACTTTTTTGGGCAGTTCATCATGGTTTTTGTTTTTTTTTTTTTGGCAGTTTTTGGTTGGGCCTGGGTTTGAACCCACCACCTCTGGTATATGGGGCTGGCACCCTACTCCTTTGAGCCACAGATGCTGCCCTGTTCATCATGTTTTTAAAACAAAATGAAAAAAGTCAAATGATCAAATATATTTATATTTGAGTCAAATCTATTTTCATTTTCTAAAATAAAGCTCTAGTGTTCAGGACAAAGCCTGGCCCCTACTCATCATTAAGTCACTAGTGACTTAACTTAGGAAAGACTTTAGAGAAGCTGAGCAGTAAAATAGTTGTTCTCAATCACAGGTAATCATTATAATTAATTGGAAATGTTTTAAAGCATAAATACATGTGAGAGCTCCCAGAATCCTGAGTTGAGTTGATCACATTTGTATGCTAAACTCCCCCAATCTATTTTTATGCTATGCCCTGATTAAGGACTTTGGTTTTAATTGATTTAAAAAAACAAAATTTCATAGATTTCTAAAATAGATTAAGTTTGTATTTTGGCTTTTCCAAAGGCAATTTATCAATGACTTATTAGTCTGTGATGAAAGATAATTCAATAGAGTAAATTATTATGACCTGTATCCCTAGAAATGCAATAGTTTAGAAATCAGCCATGCTGGCTGTATTACAGCTTTTTTATTCTATGAAAGACTTTGCACCTACATTGATTTTGACTTCTTTCCCACAGTCTAAAGTAATATTTCTGAACTTCCTTTTCAAATATTTTGCATTAGTAAACAATTTACAACCCTTGAACTTAATATGTGTATGTATTATTCAGTCTACTGTAATCATATACATTATAAAGAATACATTTATATAAAATTTTCAAAAGATGAAGTAATATATAAAAACTGTAGTTCTAATATTTTATTCCTACTATTCAATGTATTTACTTGACTTGCATCTCACTTTGGAGAATACTAGAAAAGGCAACAAAGAAATAATAGGAAAGGGATAATTTAGCCAAATATGAAATGCCTGCTTACATAGATGTGATCTCAGTCTCAAATTATTGGAAGCGCAAATATAGTTAAATGCCTTGGTAGTTTTCTTTACTTTCAAGGTGTATATTTGTGCTATAAATGAATATGTGTCTACTTATTTGGTTTATAGTTGATAGCAACCTATATCTTGACATAAAAAGGGAAATGAGTGATAGAAGCCAAAAAATGAAATAACATATTTAAAGTTATGAAGAAAAATAACTAAATTAAGATTTTGAAGACAGAAAAGGTGTTCTTAACAAAGTAAGATAAAATAAAAATATCTTAAAATAAAAAGGAAAAAGCATGCCAGGAGAAAGCATGAAAAGAAATAAACACTAACAAGAATTTTCTAGTCAGGAGAAAGAAAAGGTATTCTTAACAAAGTAAGATAAAATAAAAATATCTTAAAATAAAAAGGAGAAAGCATGCCAGGAGAAAGCATGTAAAGAAATAAACACTAACAGGAATTTTCTAGTCAGGAGAAAAACTACCAGAGATTTATTACCTTTAATAGGTAAAAGATCTGATATAGTTCAAAGATGAAATAAAAAGCACAAAAAGAGTATATGTGTGTTTGTGTGTGTGTGAGAAGAACATGAATATTATTTGTAAACAATATTAATACTGAGTTATTCAATTTGAAATACATGAAAAATTCATGGTAATGATAGTTCAAAAAGGAACATGGGTAAATTAAATTAAAGTGTTATAAAGTACCTACATTGTCTGGTATGTGACAGAAATTTTAATCTTTACTAAACTCTAAGAAGTCAATGAATTAATGTTGTAATCTCTAGGATAACCACAAAAGAATAATAAAGGAGTGTATAACTGATAAGATAATTTAAAGGAAATGTAATAACAATTTTTTGATCAATACAAAAAATCAAAAGAAATAAAGAATGAAATATGGAGTTAATAATAAATAAAAATTGAGATGTTAGGTTTAAATTCAAGTAAAAGCACATTCAAAGCCAATAAGATAAAAGAAAGTCAGCTAAAAGAAAGTCACAGTGTATTAAATAATAAAAATTGACTGAATGCTTCTCATGAGGGATACACCTAAAACATAAAGACATAAAAATGTTGAAAAAAAAGTAAGAGGAACAGAAAGCACACATACCTTAATAAATACTAAGCTCATGAAGCTATGATAATGTCAAAATTTAAATAGAGACAAATAGCAGTATTTTATAATTATAGAAGGATTAATTCAATATGAAGAAGATATAACAACCCTAAATTTGATGTACCCATTGGCATTCCTTTAGAATATATAAAGCAAAAAATTTCTAAAACTAAAAGTAGTAAGAACTACACACATTTCAAAAATATATCACTAGAGATATAAAAATTTCAATAATAGAACTTGACATACTGTAAGACACTACAACACACAACTGCATAATACACATTTTTTTTCAAATTCACATGAAATATTTAACTAAAGTGGGCCATAAAGCAAGTCACAACAAGTAGTAAAGTACAGAAATTATATGTTTGCTGATCACAGTTGTGTGGGGATAGAAACCATGACCAAAGTTGAAGAAAAATCACTCAAAACTTGGAAAAATTAAGAATACAATCTATGGAATATGGTGAAGAGTTATGCCTGCAAGATGGTGAAATAGGACTTTCAAGTGCTTGTCCCCTTGAAGAAACATCAATTAGAACAACTATCCAGACCTGAAAATAATGTTCAGAGCCAAATAAAGCAAGTAAGACATTATAGCACCTGCATAACATAATTTTTTTAAAAAGGCACATTGAATGAAGTGGATAAGGTAATTTCACATTATCTGTCTCACACTTCTCCAACCCCAGGCAGCACAGCATGAAGGGAAGAAGTAAAGTGAACACTGGACTTTGCCTTGAACCCTGACATTATGCCTGCCCTAGTAAAACACAGCACTAGCCAAACTCATATGTCCCCCAACTCCAGGTCATTCCCACAAATTCAGTGCCAAGGCTTTCCCCAGAACCAGACTGGGTCTCACAGTTCCAGACACCAGGCTAGTAGTCATGAATCATCTCTCCAGACTCACATCAGTGTCAAGAAAGTCCCTAGATCCTCAGGTTTCAGGCTTATTTCACAGACACTGGCTCTAGGTACTCCCAAGGATCCAGAATCATCCCATTTCCAGATTTACCCCCACAGCCCTAGTCTTCAGACTGGTAATCCCAGTCCTCAACCCCAGGCATCAGATTGCCTTCAGAACTGAATCAGGCTATATGCCCCATGAGCCCAAACTTCAGGCATACTCCAGCTCCATGGTTGTACTCTACAGTGCCAAATTCTAGACTGACACTCACTTACCAAAACCCATGCCCGTGGGCACCTGGATGTCATTCAAAGACCAAGCCTCCATGATGCTTCCCAAGACAGAGGCTCCAAGCCTGCCCATTGCCAGACTGGCTCCTGGGACCCAGGGTTCATTGTGGCTATTGTGACCCTATACTGCAGCAAACTCAGGGCCAGGCCCACTCAAGTACTGGCCACCCACTCAAGTACAGGCCACCCCCTAAAGACACAAACTCCTGTTTCACTGGAGTGCCAAGTTGGTTTCTATGAACTGAGTCTTCAAGCTAGCTCCCACAGATCAGTCTCTAGGTCTCACCCCATGGACCCAGTCACTAAGCCTACCCAGCTGCTTATCCAGGCACTAATTCAGCCCACCTGTGGTCTTTAGCATTAATCCTACCAGTGGAACCATGCCAGAAAGCTTGTCAGAATTTCAGAATGGGATGACTAATCAAGGGTATTTCCTGCTGAAGCTATTCTGTAAAGAGTGGAATAAGTATATACTCCTTCAAATATGCAGACATTACTGAACAATCCAAAGTATCATTTAAAAAATCAAGAAAACATTACATCACTAGATATACAAAATAAAACACCAATAATTACCTTAAAGGAATGCAGATATACAAACTCCTTGTTAAAGATTTTAAAATAATTATCTTAAAGAAGGTCCATGTGCTATAAGAGAGTGTAGGTAAGAAAAAAAATGAAATTAGGAAAATAATATGCAAACAAAATGGAAAGTTCAACATAGAGATAGGAACCATAAAAAAGAACCAGACAGAAATGCTGGTGCTAAAGAACACAATTACTAAACTGAATAATTCCATAGAGAGCTTGGGAAACAAACTCAATCATGCAAAAAAAAAAAGAAAAAAAAGAATCAGTGAACTAATCAGTGAACACAGGTTATTTGATACTACCAGCCCAAGGGAGGAATAAAAGAAAACAGACCAAAATAGAATAGAAAGGAAAAAACCCTACATGAATTATGGGGTACCACCAA